ATGTATAAACGTGGGTATGTGGTATGTAGTCTTCATAAACATAGGTATGCATATACATATATATATTCTATATATAATTCAAAATTTCTGTGAGTAAGACGCGAATTAAAAAAACATCTTAAAACAATTATAATAAAGGATTTTCAAAAAATTAAAACATAAAGTGATTCAAGTGTTTAGTTTACTATTTATACAATTATATGTGGGTGTGTGTGGGTGTTTGTGTGTGTGTGTAAAGATATATACGGAAAACACGATCCGCTCCTTAAATCGTATTACAATACATACATCGAGTTATCCACGTACAAACTTTAAGACTACACAGTAAAAACATTTGCATGTTATTATAAATTGTTTTCCGTTGCGGTTACTATTGTATTTTCTTATATGGTAAGATGTATGTATGCATGTAATATTCATATGGGTGTGTGTGTATATTTGTGTGAGTAGTAGTTATGTATGTATGTATGTGTATGCATGGTAATTGTAAATTGTTGTGTGTGGTTGGTTGGTTGGTTTGTTTGTTTGTTGGTTTAAGTCTATCAACGTTTCGTTTTTGTTACATTTAAAGCGTTCTTAATCTTCATAATAATTATGCCTTTAATCGAACATTGAGTAAAAAGTGAAAAGTTGATTACCTTGTTTAGTTAGCTTAGATTAATCATTGAATAATTTCCCGGTTATGTTAAAAAAGAAACGAAAAATATATTCGTGTACAATGAAACAAAATAACGCCAAGACTTTTAAAGCAACTTTCAGAGTACAAACTGGCATGTTTTGTATTTTACTTTTATAATTCCTTACTATTTCTATATATTTATATGTAGTTTCTGTTGTTTGAATTTCTTTTGTAGTGGTCCATAAAATTGCTATAAAAACACCTATAACTTTTCAAATACATATTACATACATTTGTTGCCTTTGCTTAAGTTTAATTATTTGCTTTGATTCTTTATCTAAAACGTAAAGCGATTTTTCGTTTTGTTTACAATTTCAGCTGCATAGTTTCTCCTTTTCTGCATTTGCATTTGCTTAAACACCAAAAGTTCAAATGTATTAATACATATTTATTATATCGGTATATATATACTCGTATATTCACAACACTAATGTTTCTTTATGTACGGCCTATTGCGCTGCTTATTAAATGTTCATTCTTGAATTCATAAAACTAATACAAAAATTATTGGTTTACCCTTAAAAGTTGACCTCAATCATCTGAGTTTTCTATATTTTAGTGTTATGATTATTAAATTTGTGTTTGTTGCCTTTTTGTTAAGTCATTTCCAGTTGAGCGCCAATTCTTCGGGCTCGCATATAGAAAATTCTGTATGTGTGTCTGTGTGTGAGAGAGTCTATTATTCTTTTCTTTTCTTTTTTATCTGTAATTGATTACATTATGTTTGTGTGTACTATATCTTTTGCTTTCCTTTTGTTATTTCGTTTAATTCTAATTACGACGACAGCGACGACAAAAAATTCTGCTCATTCATTAAATGTTTGTTTTGTTTTTGTATTTGTATCGATTTTAAAAACTACATCACAATAATTATATGCTAAAGTTCAAATAGTTGTTTTATTTGATACATGTAACATTTGTGTTACGTGTTTGCCGTTAAATGTTTGTATTTGTTACATAAATATTTCGTGCACATATGATTGTTTTGTTTTTGTGTTTAAATCAACATCTACTCATATTAATGCGTAAAGAAACTACAAAAAATTTGTTTATTTTCGATCGAAACTGGTTTTGATTTAACTTGTATTATGCATATGTATGTATGTATTTAGATTTTAGTAATTATAGGAAGTGCCACAGTTCCGTTGCCTGCTGCATAAACTTAAAAGCATAGCGACAATGACAAAGTTAAAACTATCTACAAGTACTTGAAGAAACCTATTTAACAAGAACATTATGTGATAATTTGTAATATGTATGTATATATGTAGGTAGGTAGGTAGGTAGTTAATCAGCATGTATATGTATGTATATATAGCAAGAGGGATTTGTACATAATTAACTTGTATAAGTATTTACAAAGAACAGAGATAAAACCCAAGCCCCTAAAGCACATAATGTCCGATATACATACATACGGGTCCAAGTATGCATTCGTGTGCTCTAATTTAACACTAAAAAATAAAAATCTGTTAATATTATTATGTGTATGTGTGTTCGACACGAGCTCTTTTGCATAACTAAAAAGGCCTCAGCACATAATCAGTTCAAAAGATGGCAATCTTCTCATTCAATTGGTCGCCCCAACCCAACTCTCAACCTATACTATAGATAGAATTATGTTTAAATCAAATACAAATTGAATATATATGCGATTACAAAAACTAAGTTGTCATATCGAAATTAAATTTTAATTTGTTAGGTCCTTTTCAATGTCTCCACTATTGCTAGATTGCTTCACCTTTTGTACTTCAATTGAAATTTAAATATTGTTTCCCCACGTTGCAAAACTAAACATATTTTATAACAAAATCAAGGTTTCATAATATATGGGCATGCATATGCATATGCTTGCTAGAAATATTTTAAGACATCAAGTAGTGTGTGAAATATTCAAAACTAATCTACCCTTGTCCAGACAATCCCGACTGCATATTGTGTGATTGCGCTTGATTGAACAATAATGAGAAAGATGCCAAGTTTGGCAGAAAGCGCTTCTAATAAGAGGACGTTAGAACGCTTTTCAAATAAACATGCAGTTCATTTATAAAAAAGGAGGTTATTATAAAGTTAACTTCAAAGAAATCCATATCTCGTTTAAGCTAACAACTTCTGCTGCCGTAACTTCTTTTAATTGGCAAAATCTTTAAAAACAAGAAATAACGCTACAGTCGAACAAGCCCGACAGTGTAATACCCTGTACCCAGGTAAACTTCCGTCACTGAGTTATATGCGCCCATAGCAGCAGCAAAAAGAGGAAGAAGAAGAGCGAACTTGTTGCTGCAGTTTGGGGAGGTTGTACTGGCGAGAATTTGTTTGGCTAATAACTTTTCTTAGAATTGACCGAATTGAATAAAATTTTGAACAACAGTAGACAATTATATATAAATTATGTGTGCAAAGTTTGGTTTAGGTAGCATTTGAAATGTGGACGCTATTCACGAAATTCTGTAGCGGGGGAAAATTCCAAAAAATAAAATAAACTCGTCCTTTCTCGGACGTAGGAGAATCTGGATGCCAACTTTGGTTATTCTAGCTTTTATAGTTTCTGAGATCCTTGCGTTCATCCAGACGGACAGACGGACGAACGGACGGACATGTCTAGATCGATTTCTCTCGTCATGCTGATTCAGAATATATATACTTTATGGGTTCGGAGATGCTTCCTTCTGCATGTTACATACTTTGCACAAACCTAATATACCCTTTTTACTCTACGGGTACAGGGTATAAAAATAAATGAAAGGAGAATAACTTTGAAATCATGTTATGTACAAAATGGACGCCCATGCGCTTTTTCGGTTAATTCCTACTTATATTCACGTTTAGTGTGTGTTAAACATAGTTTAGAATCATTAAGTTGTTCCCCAGCCCCCTTCCCCATCATTGTGATATTATTGTATGCATGATACGAGTGTGTCCTTTCGTTTTCGCTTGGGTTGGTGTTGTTTATGCAAATAAAAATCTACATACTAAATAGTTGATATACATATCTCTAGATTATTTGCTTTGTTTTTCTAGTTAAGGTTGTTGCGGTATGTTTTTGCTTTCGTACATAAGTTAATATATATACGTGTATGTGTATATATAATAATTATTACATAATTCATGCAATTTTAAGCATATTTGCTTTCGTTATTTTTTGTAATTACCATTATTATTATTATTTTTATAAAAGGCAATTGCTGCATAAAATGTTGTACACCATTGTGTAATAATAGTTCATTTTATATATATGTGTATTTATATATTTATTAATATATTGTAGTGGCGGCCGTGCTGCTGTTGTTGTTGTTGCCTTCCACTTCTGTTGTTAATGTTGTTACTTTGTTGAGGTACTTTCTAAGAGACTAAAATCCTACACATTTGAATTATTTTGTAGTTGTTCCGTTTCCTTTTTGCATTAGTTACGCTATTCTGTTTGTTTTACATTTTAGGTGTATTGTTTGTTGTTTCTTGTTTGTTGTTGTTATTAAAAATAGTTTGTTACATACTTGGTTGTACTTATTAACTAATATAAACGACGTTTACCTAGCTTAGAAACGGGTTTTTGGATTTGCATTCATAATATTCATAATTTTTAGGACATCCTCATATATATATTTATATGTATATATATATATATATATATATTTGTGTATGTAGATAGAAATTTAATGTTTATATAAGTTTATATATATAATTAGAAGTTATCATAAAATATACAACACACATAATGAAACGCTTTAGTATGCTTGAGAAAAATTCAAATTTAAAGAAATCTGTTCTTATCCAAGTTTAGTTCTTGAGTGTTTAGTATATAACATGAAAATTTCCATTCATCATTTTACATACAAATATGTATATATAAATTTCTCATTTTCAGTAATGGTTCACACTTTATATAAAACAAATAATCATAAACAGACGAGCCGCGACAATGGCTGGCGAACGAAATAAATCTGCTGATTGTGTGAGTGTATGTATATAGATGTATGTGCGACAACAAATTAATGTGTGTAGTATATAGGTACATTCTAAAATTTAACAAGATCTCTCGCTCAACATTTCCGTTGTCGGCGGCTCTTGCTCTTAGTGCGGTTATTGCAACGCGTGTTGCTGTTGCAATTACTGCTTGTGCTGCTGTTGTCGGCAGCAACGAAATGTTGCAGTGTTGTTGTTGCTGCATCGAAGTTGCTTGAAATTGTTGCAGTCGCAGTTGTAGAAGCAGACGCTTGACTCATATTGCAATTATTCGTTGTTTCCATTGTTGTTAGCAACATGTTGCTAAGGCTGTTGCTGTTGTGTATGATGGTTTGTTGCATCAGCAACATAAACCACCAGCATTGCGAGAGGTGTAGCTGCTGCTGCATATTATGTTGCGTATCGTCAGCACTGTCTGTGTTGCTATTGCTCCTTGTGTTGTTATTGTTGGTGATGATGTTGCCTGGCTGCTCTTGAGCCACAAACGATCTGTTGTATGCAGAGGAAGAAAAAGAGGAAGAGAGAAAGTGGCATATGAAAAATATTGCTCGCGGAATGCTGCGATTTCAAGACGCATTATTCGGCCAAGCCAAACGCAACGTTTCGACATTTTCGACTCACTCGAGTGTCTATCATTCAATCAAATGCTGTGGTTTTGTGGGGGGGGGTTGTGTGGTGTTTGCTTCTTCAACAGCTCTTTCAGCAATCTCAATCTCAATCTTCGAGCTACTCAGCTCCATACCATATATTTGTCGGCGCAAAATGCGCCGCATGCTTGCTGGCAGCTACCTGTGCGGGACTCAGCGGTCCAAACTGACTATATTGTGTGGGTATTTGGATGTGTGCCGGCAGCGGATGCGACGGTATGACCTGTAAAAAGTACTAGACATTAAAGAGCTATACCAACTGAATGTTGCCTGAAGTGAATGTAATGAAGTAAATGGAATGATCGACTTGAAGCGGTTTAATGAGTTTTGATGGTACGTACTTTAGATCGTGACAAATCGCTCACCTGACGACTGGAGCTGTTGTGGGCCGGGGGCGGAGCGACGACAGCGCGATTGGCATAGGCATAGGTGGGCGTGGCCTGTGACACAAACACCGTAGGTCGGCGGTACATATCGCCCTGCGCATAGATGTCCGGCTGCAGCATCGCGGCTGCGGCTGTGGACGACGGCGATCCACCGAGTGGTGTGCCAGCCTGGTGATGAGCATGATGGTGGTGATGTGGCGGCGGTGCCTGCTGCGAAGGAGCACCAGCCGGCGGCTGTGATGGTTGACGATAGACTTGGGGTGCTCCCCACGATGGAGGTCCTACAGCGGCTGCAGCGGCGGCAGCAGCGGCTGCGGCTGCAGCAGCTGCACTGATTGACGACGATGATGAAGCGGACGAGCTCTTCGAGTGCGCCAATGGCGGCGCCACTGGTGGCGCCTGCTGCTGTGTCACGTAGGTGGGCGCTGTGGAGGGTGCCTCGCGTTTATGGTGTGCCAGAGGGGGCTGCGATGCTACGGTGCCGGCGGCCCACGACGAACGCTTACTATCCAGATGGGCATGGACGTGTGCTTGTTGAGTTGCAGCTTGCGGCGAATACTCGTAGAACTCCGTAGGCTCTTGCTTGGTTGGAATGTGGGGCAAGCTGACTGTTGAAGTGGGCGGTCCGCTGCTGCCGCCGCTGGGCAAATAGCCGCACTCACTCTGAGCCATGGCCAAAATGCGTTTCTTTTGCGACTGACCGGGCTCGTATTTGATGTTGGGCTGCGGCTGATAGTGTGGCTGCTGCGGCGCTTGTGTGGCTACAGATGACGGTGGCGGCGCGGCGATGGTGTGATGATGGTGGTGCTTGGGACTGCCACCGACGGCTGCGACGGTGACGTGATGACGACGGCGCGCATCCTCCGGATCGTGGTCACCTACGGTTACGCATGGTATTACTAACTGTACGTGATTATGGCTCTGATGCTTTTGGCGACTTAAATTTGACTGAGACTGAGGGGCTGAGGAGGGTGGCATAGAGGAGGATGATGAAGAAGGGGGCGGAACGGGGACTGTGTGGGCATTGGACTGACTGAGCGAGGTTAGTAATTGATGGCCGCTAAATTGTGAATGCTGGTTAAGTTGAAGACTATGATGGTGATGATTTTGTTGTTGTTGGTTGGAAGTGGAAGTAGAATTGGAATTGGAAGTAGACGCGGAAGCAGATGCCGTCGAACCCGTGGAGGCAGTATGAAGGACACTGCAAAGCTGTGTCGGCTGCTGATACGACTGTTGCTGTTGCGGTGGCGGCTGCTGTTGTTGTTGCTGCTGCTGCTGCTGATACGACTGTTGCACTGAGCATGCAGAAATGTCGATTGCACCAAATCCAGTTCCACTTCCGCTTCCGCCCAGCTGATTGTGATGAGAGGTACTGCTACTTTGGGACATGGTGGAAGACGAGACGTTACTGCTGTGACTATGGTTGTGGCTGATGTTGCTGCTGTTGCTCAGCTGGTTATGATGATGCTGACTATGATGGCTATGGTGATTATTCGTATGATGGCTTGCAACGTTGTGAATGCTACTACCCCCGCTGTTACTGCCGCCGCCCGAGCTACACTTGCTACTGTGATGCGAAGACAGCTTATGGCTATGATTGTGATTGTTGTTGCTGTTGTGGTAGTGGCTGCTGTTGTTGTTAGTATTTGATGCCGCAGAAGTTGCGGGAGCGGCGGCGGCGGCGGCAGCAGTACTTATTGTTGATGAAGAATTGGAGGACATGGAATTGGTTGCATTACCATAATTAACAGCCTGAGTCTGCTGGTGCTGATGCTGCTGCTGCTGCTGTTGTTGTTGCTGCTGTTGCTGCTGCTGATGCTGTTGCTGGTGTTGGTGCGGTGGTTGGTGACCATGCGGCGGGGGAGGCTGTTGTTGTTGTTGTTGTTGCTGTGGTTGGTGATGCGACGTCTGCGACTGAGCGCTGCTGCGGCAGTGCAATGACGATGATGAGGCCGAATGCTGCAGTAGACTACTACTAGTCTGGGACTGTGCATGAGCCCGCTGCTTGGTGGGCGCCGATGCAAGAATAGGCGTCGCTTCGTTTCCTTCGTCCTCGCTGTCTGAGATTGTAATAACAGCTGTCGGCGAGGGTGTATCATGAATGGTAATCGTCTGCTGCTTCACAATAGTGCTATGATGCTGATGAGTATGAGGCGGCGGTTGTGTCGCATGGTGGTGACCCGACGACGAAGACGACGAAGATTGATGGTAGCCACCGGGGCCGCTGCAATTGTTGACAATGATATGTCCGCTGCTATTGTAGCCTGTATTATGCTGGGAATGAGCAACTGGAGCTCCGCCACCGCTGCTACTGTGGTGGTGGTGATGCGCGCCGGCTGAGCTGGCATTGATAATGTCTATAGGGTAAGAGGGTAAGACACAATGTAATATTTAGAAGAAACAAATGCGTTTAGGCTTACTATTTGTGGATGTAGAAGCTGAAGCAACTACTGCGCCGCCGCTGCTGTAACCACCGCCACCATAATTGCAGTTATGGTGAGAGTGGTATTGTGGTGATACATGTGCGGCACGCTGATAACGCTGCTGGTGTGGTGGTGAGCTTTCCTTGACACGTTTCTTAACCGGCGATAGCTGTTGATTCTCCTTCTTCTCATGACGCGGCACGCGATATGAGTTGCCCTTGCTGCTAATAGAGTTGAGGGATCATGAATCAATATTAATACAAATCTATTTTTTATAAATGCTTACGCCAAGTGGTGGGCCGGCGACTCCTTCTTGAGATCGGCGGTACGAGGCAAGTTCAAAGGATGCTTCTGATAAATCTCCTCTACATTAAACAACGGCGTTGAGTCCACAATTAACGAGTGCCCAGGCGCTTGCTGCGGCCACGATGGAACAAGTGCCATTTGGCGGCCGTTCTGAGGCCAGGCAACGCCGCTGGCCTGAACTCGATTCGTAAGCAGCATGCGTTGCCCTGAGCTCGGCTCCACCATAGACACGGGTACCGGAACATTGACGTATTGCTGCGGTGGCACCTGCAGGGGAGGCTGCATTGTGGCGCTACCTACAACTACATGCTTTGTAGGGCTTGGCATCGTCTGATAGGAGGGCGGACAGAGAATGTTGGAGACCAACTGATGTTGGAAGGTGTCTGTACGCGCTTGGGGATATTGGCGCGCAACATTGCGACCGTTATAGATCTGGTAGAGACCCTCGTAGGCCAATGGACGCCCATCACGCACCAAGCGCTGCACTTGACTGGTCAGCTGATTGTTAATAGTGAACGTCATGTTCTCGGTAGTACTCGGCACAAAGTTGGTTACTAGTGTCGAAGCGGGTTGAACTCTGTGAAATAGACAAGTCGATTCATTAGGAATCTGACGCGGTGATGATTATCGTGCTACTCACGTGTGGAAGTCACCACGTCGACAGACTTCCATCATCTGCACGGAGGCCTTCACATTGTTGCAGTAGACGTAGTCGACGAGGTGCGTTAGGCGTGTGAAGGAGTGGTTCAATGCCTCGGCCGGCGTCAGACGACGCTCCTGGTCAATAGTCAGCATGCGCTTTAGCAGATCGATGAACTCGCGCCGGTCGGTCTTCTCGGCCAGAAGTTGACCGCCCTCCAGGTCCGTGGGTACATTAACCTGACCGATATCGTCCAGGCAATTAAAAATGTATTTGCGTGCCTCTTTGCTCTTCGTGTTTGTCTCCGCCTCGTGCTCCTCTGTGGTCTTCAAACGCCAGAAGGGGTACGTCGAATCGACGTCTCGATAAAAGAACTTGGACGTTTTCGAAGCACTGTTCAGCATGTGCTCCGTAGGCAGACCTTGCGTCTGCGAAATGTAACGAATCTGATCGAACTCCGAGGAGCCAGGATATAGAGGCCAGCCCAGAAAGAGTTCGGCCACTACACAGCCAAGTGACCACATGTCAATAGCTTCACAAAATGGCAGACCCAGTATGATCTCAGGCGCGCGATAGTAGCGCGATTGCAGGTAGGTGTTGCATACGGTTTTGCTCACGTGCGAAGCACTGCCAAAGTCAATGACCTTGACGCGGTACGGCTGTCGCACTGGATCTACCAGCATAATGTTCTCGGGCTTCAGATCGGCATGAATCAAGCCGAGTTGCTTCAACTTCAACAAGGCCGTCAACACCTGTCGGAGATAAGATACTGAACAACTGACATCTAAGAAGTCAATATTTCAATTTACCTGCTCCAATATAGGACGTATATACTTCAAGGGCAGCGGGGAAAACTTGTTCTGTTTGAGAAAATCGTAAAGATTCTGCTCAAGCATCTCAAAAACCAGACATGTGTGATTTTTGTGCTGAAAGCACTCGAAGGCCCGTACAAAGTTGAACTCGTCCGCATTCTCCTGACTGAGTCGCGATAGAATCGATACCTCAATTTGGCCCTGACGTGCATACGACGGATGATTCTTTAGTATTTTGATCGCCACAATTTCGGATGTTCCACGCTTCCAGCATTTGACTACTTGACCGAACGTTCCACGCCCCAGAAACTCCAAGACCTGCATTAATTAATTAAGTGGATTTGCTCAGCACATAAATTCTTCTCTTCTCACCTCATACTCCGCAGATAGCGAGTAGAGCACCTCGTGCTGAACCAACTGATAGTCACCATCGGCACCGCTGCTCGAACGTTTGCTGGGGGGCTGCGTATTGGCATGCCCCCCAGATGTTGGTACCTTCGTGTGCGCCGTTTTGACGGTACTTCCAACGTGGGCTAGTTCCTGGCCCTCGTCAACGCTACCGATGCTATCACTAGCTCCAACAGTTGGCGCTGCTCCCCCGTTATACGAGTCCACGCAACCGCAATTGCACTCTGAAATGACACCAAGAGGAATTTCAAAAACATTAGACTAAGATAGACAATCACTTTTATCATTTCATTTAGCCTGCCTATTTGACTATTTCTCCTGAACAATCGTCTAACCACAAAGGAGAAGATCATTGTCCCCCAATCCTTTATTTACGAAAATTTCCTCGGGCTCCAATCAACGCCGCGGGCAATTTCAGTTCTTTACAATAATGTCGTTGCAATGCAACTGACCGCTCTGTGCTCGTCGTATGCGACAATACCGCATCACACAGAAACATGAATATATATGTAGATACAAGTACATACATATATTACTTATACCTAGGCGACAGCCAGCTAGTATATAGCCGTAAGTGACAACTGCTTGTCAGCGACGATGCGTTGGCAACAAAGAAATTGCAACAAAAATACGATGCGCATTTGGCCAATTCAAATGCCCGCTGCGACTGTGGACTCGCGTACTGGGTACTAGGAACAAATGGCCTGACAAGACACAACACGCAATTCCAATGAGGAAACAGCTGCTATCTATTTACCGATATAGATTATAGCCCACTGTGGTACACACTGCGTAAGGTACGCGATGGTATCGCAGGCGAATACTGCGGGCCAAAAAACGACAATCATGCTCGACCGATTAAAGTGCCTTCAGACTTGACAATAATACACTTGAACTGAAACCAAACAATAACTTTATGTTTCACATTTGACTGATTTCGCATGAGTAATTTAGAAAACATAGCAGTTCATAGTTCTGCTCCGTCTGCTTCCTTTATCGCACTTTAAGGCACCTAAGAGCCTTGGAGAAAGTTATCGCCGGATCTGCGTGTCTTTCACTAAAATCTTAAAGCTCAGAGGAATTTCAACGAATATAGAATTTTTTATTTTATTTAAAATGCAATTGCACATAATGCAATGTATGGTACCACTAAAATTCTGGAGCTCCTGAACCCCCTCCATCAATCTATGGATTTCTTATGCAACGAAACCAACTGCGACTTTTGCTGTCGAATCAACGGCAGTTCTTAACAGGGCGTTACTCTAAATTACTATAAGAGTAAATAAATTGTAGATCCGATTAATGATTCAAAGAAAAATGCAATCAAGTCCAATAAAATCTTTATCATAGTGAAGAATTTCTTTGAGCAGCTTTTACAATGAGGAATCTTTTAACCCTTACTATCAGGGGCAGTAACAGCAAAAAAAAGGCATCGGTAAATTAACTATTTAAATCGAACAAAAACAAGTAGAGCAATGTAGAAAACCACTTTAATATTGGCTGTTGGTCTGCTATAGCATATGCCATACACAGCTTAATTAATTTGTGTTAAAGGACATTTGATATGAATGTGACTGCGACATAAAAATAGCGCAAGGCAGCCAATAAAAAGCCAAACCCACGCAGCGAACAAATTAAGGACGAGAAGGGCGGCCAGGCGAGCACGGGTTCGCATGTGCTGCACGAAAGAGCGGCGAACAACGGCGTAATAATCAAAAATAAAAAAAATTAAGGACACACGCGACGCCATGTCCAAGACGGTTGCTGTTGTTGTTTTTGCTTCTGCTTCCGATGCCTCTTAGAATTTATGGCACAAATTGTGAGGAGGTCTAGGAACCAAAATTGCGTGCAATTAAAAAAATTCTGGGAAGTGGAGAATGTTACGACCAAACGACTAACGGCCCTTTAAACATACTTGTACATTCATATGTATATTTACTTAATGCTCCGCACTTGTTTCTTAAATTGAGAAGCTGCCTTAATTGGCCTACGTATGTATTACAAAAGATGTCGAGCATAGCAAATCCTGCGCACAGCTTCAAGGCAATCGCAAGGACTTCTGTGCAATGGTCACGTGGCAGGGCCAGTGGGCGGAAAGGCTGCCGCTGGCAAGCAACAAGTTATGTGAGCGCTTCAGCAACAACAAAGCCGAGAGGCCAGCAATCAGCTGACGGAGGAGAAGGAGGAAGAGAAAAGATGAAATGGTGACTGACGGGTGGAGGTGGATTCGTTAGTGCGCACAAACCACGAAACGGGTTGACATCATTTTCATACGTGTTCGTACATATGTATGCGCATATGTATGTAGATATATGTACAATATCTGATTGCACAACCAAACCAAACAGATTTCGTTTACGCAAATCTCGACAGCAGCCGCAGCCGCAGCAATAGCAGCAACAACAAAAATAACAAAGGCTGCAACAGCCACAGCCACATCCACAATTGCAAGTTGCAACGTGACGCAGTTCAGCAAAAATAAAACAAATCTGTTGTTGCTGCAGCAGTTGTATTATGAGTTTCATTTGAATTTATGTTGCATAAAGGAATCAGCCAACTGTAAATGGGAAAACGCTCCCCTCACAGGCGCAGCATCTCCCTTCGGGACTGCACAACGCCAAAGAGCGATATGTGCGCATAGCAGATGCGAAAAGTAGAGGAGGAACGATTCCGCTGGTGCAGTTTGGGGGCGTATTTCTTGGTCAAAATTGTTTCGCTAATAAATTTTCTTAGAAAAAGCTGATTTGAAATGAAGGTGGGAAGATTACGCGTGCAAGGTTCAGTTTCTGCGAAGAGAAGAGGAATGAATCCGCTGGTGCAATTGAGGGCGTATTTCTGGAGTAAAATTGCTTGGGTAACAAATTTTTCCAGCAAAATACCGATTTGAAATGAAGGTAGAAAATTAATTGTACATCTGAAATTGTGGGAGCGAGGGTTGGAAATTATTCTTAAACATATACTTATTACAAAATTCGGGAGGTTAAGTAGATTAAATTGTTTCGTCATAGCTTTTAAAATTATATAGGAGTCCACGTATGGCTGAACTGACTGTTCTTAAAGATTTTCTCCAATATGAAATTTTTTACATTCAATTGCAATATAAGACTTAACATTTTTTAATCAATAAATAAATGGACTTCTTAAGCTTAAACCTACATATCTATAAGAACTGGGAACTGTTGCGTTTCCTTATATGAGAAACATTTATTATACTTTTGTTGAATTTACGAATGAGCGGCAACCACATACCTTGCAAATTTTCATGAAAATAGCTTGCCTTTATCAGGTATATATCAGAACATGCCATTATCAGAAATTCGAATTTTTGGGAGAAGCAACCCATGGCGTTCACAAACTACAATAATCAATCAGTACAAGCTGCGAAGCCTGCAACTGATGGCGGGCTACATGATTTGAGGTTGAATATGACTAAGGGCGATTTCCCAGGGGCATATTTGCATTTTGCATGCGGCGAGAACATGTGAATACATGGTCCTGTACTTATCCTTGAGTCGTTATTGTTGTACAAAGCAACAGGGTGCCTAAAATGAGCATTTGATGCATGAGTGGGTGTGTTAGAGCCATTAATTTTGCCATAGTTATATACTTATGTATAGTAATAATATAACATAACTGAATAAGCACACCCCAGACATCGTCACATGGATTGAATTATTAATTCATATGTAATTCATATGTACTTGCACAAAATGTGGTGTCTGGCCAGCAAAGTTACGAGCTGTTACACACGCCCTATCATTATTATAAAACTTTGATTACGATTGCGGACTTTGTTCGAGCTAAGCCTAAAGGTTAGCAACGTAACAGGCAGTTAATCACAACAATTGTTAAGCAATGGGTCAGAAATTCAATTGCTTCGCACAATTTAGACCTTCAAAGTTTGCCCGCAAACATTAAAAAGACGTGGGCCAATCCTAAGGTCTGTCTCTCTCATTATGACATGTACTCGTACCTGCCACACCTTTCATCTAAAATCAACTTTCAACGGTGCTTGACAGCCTTGCCCTTTTGCCCAAATGCAATTTCAATGTTGCATGTTGCAATTTGGTGAAAACATTTTCTGATTATTTGCTTCGCTTTCGTGAGCATCATTTAGCGGAAGTGAGGAAGAGGATTTATAAAAATACAAATGGAAAATGAAGAAGCACAAATTAAAATAAATATGTACAAAAATATTTCATAGCTTCGAACGAAACGGAAGCGGAAAGACTTTAGCAAAGTGATTATGAAGAAAGAGTTTGGAAAAACAGTTGCTGAAAATAAAATGCATATGATGGCTGCAACAGGTTTGAGTTGGTTTGTAATCAATTGTTTTTGTTGTTGCAGCTGTAACGAGACGAACGAAATTCGGCGGCATCGCATATTTAATGAACTGATTAATAGGCGCAGACAATCAACAAGCCAGGTACGACAACAAAAACGGGGGCAGCAACACCAGCGAGTCACAAAGAATGTTGACAACAACGTCTCCAACAACTGCAGCCAGGGAGGTGAACTAAGCGGGATGTTGGGCCAGGGGGGGGGGGGGGGGGGGGCAGAGGCTCAGTAAATATTTTGCACCGCAATGAGAGCAATGCACGCGTAAGCATTTCCACTTGACGTTGTCGCCGGTGCATATGCCGACGACCCCACCTCTTCACCGCCCCCTCTGACTATTACTCATTATTGTTGTTGTTGTTGTTGCCGGCGTTAAATGCAATTCAGACAAATAAAACAAGTTCCAGCCCCATATGTACGACAAACAAGCGGCAAAAGACAACAAAAACAACATCAACAACAACAGTCATGGCAACAATGTTGCCGCTGCACATAGTTATGTATGTACTGGTATGGGTATGTTCGTATCTGTGTTGCGTACCACCACAAAGATCGCCCAGAAATGGGAACAGCACGAACAGAACGAAACAAGTGCGAGCACAAACGAGAAGCGCATGGAGAAAGTTGACGGAAACAACATTGTGCAGCAAAAAATTCAAAATGTTTTCGCTGTGAAAGAAGAGTTCTTTGTTTTACTGATAAAGGCATGCGCGTATATAAATATAACCAGGTTATTCGAATATACAACAGACAATACATACTATAAGAGACTGATGGCGACTTATAGCATATTTACTGCTCTTTCTAGTGCCAAAATTAACCGTTCAGTGACTAATTGTCTTTCCCTTTTGATATTGTGCATAAGACGAAAAAGACACTGCTTTTA